AATACACATTGTTTACTTGGATTAAGAATCCTACTTATCATTACTCCTAAATCTTTCTCGCAGTCGGATTTCTCAATAACATTGTTGTTCATCTGGTATCCCTGTTTACAATTCCGATACTGAGTACAGGTACTTTACATTTGTCCACATTGAATCTCATCTGCAAATTTTTAGACCATTCACAAAATTTGTTTAGATCTTCCTGTAATTTTGCGGAGTCATCGTCAAATTTAATTACACGCCCTATTTTAGTGTCATCAGCAAATTTTTACTTATGTTGCTGTCTACGCCGATATCTGTCGTTTATGTATATAATAAATAATAATGGTCCGCATATTGAGCCTTGGGGAACTCCACTAGTGACGTTGCTCCAATGGGATTTAGTGTTGTTAAGGCTCACTCGCTGTTTCCTGTCCTGTAACGACGCCCTAATCCATTTTAGAATATCTCCTTTAATGCCATGAGCCTCCACTTTTCTTATCAGTCTTTCGTGGGGTACTCTGTCCACCGATTCGAAAACAGATGAAAAGAATGTTAATAGATTAGTTAGACATGAATGCCCGCTTGTGAAGCCATGTTGGGAATCATTGATCAACTTGTGCTTCTCCAGGTGATTTCGAATAGAGTTTGAAATGATTGCTTCCAGTAATTTGGCTACAATTGATGCTAAGACCGATTGGTCGGTAGTTAGAGGATAGTGATCTATCTCCCTTCTTGAAAATCGGTATTACATTTGCTATCCTCCAGGATTCTGGTACTACACCCGTTTTTAAGGATGGTAAACAACTTTGCTAAGGGCATACTAAGCTTTTCTTTACATTCCTTTAATACTCTGGCAAATATCTCATCGGGACCTGGTGACTTATTTGGCTTTAGTTTGTCTATTTGCTTACTAACATCATTACTAGTCACTACTATCTCGCTTAATTTATTTTCTTCGCTATCTCTATATAGAGTCGGTGCCTCGGGTATCATGTTTAAATTTTCGGTGGTGAAAACTGTTGAAAAATATTTATTCAGATTACTGCTTATTTCTCTTTCGTTATCAGTTAGCTCGCCGGTATCTGACTGTATTGGTCCAATCTTTTCTCGTATTTTAGTTTGATATATTTGATAGAATCCCTTGGGGTTTGCCTTCACATCCCTTTCTATCTTCAGTTCATTATTCCTCTTGGCTTTTCTTATCTCGGTCTTAACCCTACTGGCCAATACCTTATAATTATCTCGGAGGTAGACTTCATCACGATTTATTCTCCTACCTAAAGCCTTCCTTTGTCCAATAATATTCTTTAAATAATTATTTATCCATTTAGGGTCATTGTTGTTTGATCTAAGTTTTCTGTATGGTATGTTCTGCCTTTGTGCATTAAGTAACTCATTATTTAAATTGTTGTGGAACTCGGCAACCTCAGATCTCGTTATCAGGTCTCCCGGTAAGGTGAGGTCGCCCTCTGTGGGTACATTGAGAGAGGTCACCTCATGTGAGGTCATGTAGTTCACCCCCAACCGTGATACCCCTTCTCTTAGCTGCCTCTTCAAACTATCAATGTTTGCCCTTCTGAAATGTGGGACTATTGTACAGTATAGTGGAATTTTCCTTGCGGCTGTCCTGAAATTCTAACTGGAATCTAATTTCTTTGTGATCGCTTTTAGCAAGTTCGTTCCCTACCTCGACATTACTAATGAGGTTTTCTCTGTTTGACAGAACTAAATCGAGTATATTATTACCCCGGGTGGGTTCAGTTATATGTTGGTTTAGGAAACAGTCCTGGATTGTTTCAAGAAAATCCTCTGATTCTGAGTTACCCGTAAGGTCAATCCAATCTATTTGGCTAAAGTTAAAGTCGCCTAGTATACAGACTTTGCTATGTATGGAAGCCCTGCGCATTTCATCCCAAATAAGTCATTCATTAACTCTGATCAAGATTAGGAGGTCTATATATTACTCCTGTGATTAATTTTTCTTTACCATCGATTAGTTCTATCCAAATTGTTTCTGTATTCCATTCTGTTTTTATTACCTTATTTATTTCACACTTCAGATTATCCCTGACATAGATTGCTACTCCGCCTTGTTTCCTAATCTGCCTATCGGTATGGAATAATTTGTAACCTGCAATTTGGTATTCGACAGGTACCCGGTACGTGAGTCTAGGTTTATCCATGTTTCGGTGAATGCTATTATATCAATTTTTTCGGTACATGCCAACGCCCTGATTTCATCTATTTTGTTTCTCATACTTCAACTGTTTGCGTAGTAGACATTTAAGTTAGTTGTATTTTGAGTCCTCTATTTGTCGCGTTTAGGTTTTAACTCCCTGCCTAATTTAGTTTTTCATAATTCCTCGCACTATTTCCCTGTAACCTTTCACTTTGTTTACCCGCTCCCACTGCAGTCTCCTCCACCCCCGTGCTCATATGTTCTCTTAACAGTTTAAAGACTTCGACATCTTTTGAACTGCCCTCTCGAGAGAACCAGCCAGGGTTGCCACCCCATCCCTAGCATAAAGGTCCCTTCTGCCGTAGAAGTTGTCCCAGTTGTCAATGAATGGGACTGATATTGACTTGCAATATCCATCAAGACGGCCATTCATTGTTTATATCGAGCTATTATACTTTAGATGCAGCCTATGTACACTAAGGGGATACACTCCATATCTTCACCATTCCACTTCGTCACCAAAACCCCATTTCTGTATCAATATCAAATCCGTTTCGTCACCGCTAACAGTCGCTGGTATTATTGACAAATTGTAAATTATTATTTTACACAAATAGAAATTACACATGTATACAGACGACTTGAGAAGTATTGTGTTATTATTACACATGAATATTAATTATTTAATAAAGAAAATGATTAAAACATTGGTAAATAAACAAAATACAGAACAATCCAAGGTGATTTGGCACCAGCGCATAAACCACCAAGCAGCGAGATGATTGCAGGCATATTAACGTCATTTTTATTATTATTTATTTTGGTCTTTAATAAATTGTCTTTGTGTTTTTTATTATTTTCTATCCCAAGCAACAGTTATTTTCGTGTACGTATATATTGATGGGAATGAACACAGTGACGAAACAGGTTGGTGACAATATGGGCAGACCCCCACTAAGCATATGTTTTAAACATATGCATGTTCCTGTTGTTAGTAGATGGTGTTAATCTGTATGATTGTATCTACAAAGCAAAGATGTTTATAATTATTGTACAGTATGCAATATACAGTAGGTAATTGTTTCCTGTAACCCTATCTTGATGTACTGTACTGTATTCATATAAATTTGATGCACGAAACTCATCATGCAGTCTGAAAACTGATATGTTAGGAAAAAATGATAAAATATAAATATTAAGGTTACCAAATCCAACCTAACTTTATCAAACCTAACCTAACTTAAACTTAACTTTGAAAAACAATAAAAAAAAAGGGGGGAAATTTTTCCTACTGAGCACTTTAACTCAGGGTTCATAGTGCAGGGGAGCAAACCCGCCCCCCCCCCCACTGGAAAAGTTCAAGCAGACACTCATGTCAGTAAGCTAACTTTGGTAATAATTTCAATAGGAATATCTACACAAAATAGTATTTGTAGGTTTTACTCGTGTTATTTGGTGTGAAGCATCACATCACCTTCATTAACTTATTATAACCTGCATAACTCTTGGCTTTGGTTGAAACTTTTACAGCTGTGAAGTTTTGTAATTGTTATTATAATGTCTTATATAATGGTTTGTTTTAGGCTTTATTGTAAATATAAATAGTAAGTAGAATCCTGTTGCCATGTCAAACATGATGTAAACCAGACTAATGTCTCATATTCCTAATGTGTTTACAACTGGTGTTGGTGTCATTGAGAGTACTGTACATCCCCTGAAATATTTCATCCTCACACAGCAGGTAAATATTTTTGCCTTTTCTTTACCGAACGTTAATTTTTAATTTATATAAAAACAGTAAACAATTAGATAATTGTGACCTCATTCACTTTAGATAGATACATTGTATATTGTTAACCATGCTAAGTTCTACTCTGGTGACAAAAATATATTTCAACAAAATTGCTTTATGAATATTGTTCATAGTGGACAGCTGGTAGTGAAGGAAACACAACTAAGAGATGGAGTTTTGTTCCTGACAGTTTGTTACTACTTTTAAAAAGTGATGAAACATCAGGAATAAAGCTACATCTCTTAGTCATGCTTCCTTTATTACCACACTACCAAAGTTACCATAATTAATATTACATGTTATACCACATACAGTAAACTCAAATGCTTGGGGTATGATTATTGACTGCATTATACCTGTAGTTATTGTTTAAAGTTAACTCTTGCAGTCTCCCGATTGTAAAGTCAATTAATATGCATAACCCGATCAATAAATTTTCACGTATAAAACTACTGTAGTATTAATTGAGGTAATTGCAGTGTAAATTACTTATCCTAAGCATATGAAGACCATCTCGATATGCTAGTTGTTTATAAATGTAAAATACAGTACAGTACTATACAGGTACACTTTGTTGTTATATTCATGTGTGAGTTGATAATGACTCCACACACAGACCCATGCCACAGATGGCCATAGAAGCTAGGCGGATATATGCAAGAATGACCACTGAATTTTAATTAAACATAAGACATTAAGTTTGGAAGGTTAACAGCACTTTGAGTAAACAATGAAAGATGTACTATTAACTGATTGCCAGTCACTGATGTAATGTTTAGCCCAAGTACTGTACTGTATTAGTAATAATAGATTTATAAATAAAGCTTGATTAAGTTATTGTTTCTTGAAAATTAAAATGTTTTTTTATCTACACTCTGTAGTGACTGTGGAAGCTATCCCATATATAATACAAAATCACAACCACCACGATGCTATGGTTCCTATGTCTATACTATCTGGGGTGGATTTATTTTACTCACCCCCCCCCCCAAAAAAAAAATTATATATATATATATATATATATATATATATATATATATATATATATCTTCCTATTTTGTTAACATTTGGTGGCTAACATATGCACCCCCACTCAGTACTACTGGGGCGGTCAGACGCATCATGTCCCATGGACTACTGTGTTAGTTTCTTCTTTAACGTGGTATATAATTTGCTTTGTTTTTGTATACTCCCTCTATTTTCCATTGAGTACCAGAATACTGTACAGTATGTATCTTGACTGAGTAAATAAACATTTTAAGCTTTGTTTGGTAAATTTTGGGTGGCTTCCAGTCCCTAACCCCTTATTTTGTACTAAACCAAATTAAATTTTTATATTATATATATTTTTTTTCATTTAGCCAATGTTTTCATTTTCTAAGAACCCCAAGGCCTGTGGTGTAATGGTCAGCATTCTCACCTCGCAAGCGAGCAGACCCGGGTTCGATCCCCGGGCAGGGCGAAACTATGGGCAAGTTTCTTTATGCCATTTGCCTCTGTCTACCCAGTAGTAATTGAGAACCTGGATGTTAATCGATTTGCGTATCATGTTTCGGGGTAATGGTTAGCCAGTGCAGTTGGCAGGTCTTGGCTTATTCCTTGACAATGGGTCATGAAACTCGTTAACTTGGGGTGTGGTTGTTGTGTTGGCGACAGCTTCTACACCTTAAACAAATTCACGCCTAGGTGGCCCTTGGGCTGGCCATTCTCATTACACAAGGGGAAACCATTTACAGTATATTAGTTTTAACGTGCCAAAAATAGACGGAGTGTATCAGGCAAAATATTTATTTCTCTTGATACCCAAACTGTACCCTTGTTCAAAGTATGTCTTCGAAGAAGTTATTTTAACTTAATATAAATTTAACATCATGCAATTATTGCTTACAAAACACTGAAAGTAGAAGCTGATAAAAATTCTAACTTATATTTACCTTTACATTAATGACTTTTAAAAGGAATTTAGTTCAGTGGTTGGAGAAGTGAATCACAACGAGAAACTTAAAATTGTCTACTATTGCTGATATTAAACAACTCTTCTAGAGAAGTAGTGGAAAATTTTCTTCTAAATTGTAAGACTTTGAATCTTATTCTGTCAGGATTCATAATACAGATCTAGAACAAAACTAACAATATGATAGTCAGCAATTGCCAAGGTCTGGTGATATCCACTTGTCTCTCTATTCCAGGCAAATTATAACTTTAACATTCCATTTTTTTCATATTCTACTTAATAGTCCTTCTTTTATTCCTTGAACTGAATTTACACACTAATATAAATATTAAAATTTTCAATACCTACCTACAACCAACATATCTATTCAATAAAATTTATAAATAAAACTTTTGTAATATATTACTTTCTAAAAAAAAAAAAAAAAAAATTTTTTAGCATCAGCATGATTAGATTACTGAGACATTTGAACAAAAAATATAAATAATGAGATGACTATGGTAGTGTCAAGTCAAATCACTATGTCAGATGGTGGAGTACCACATACCATGAAAGAAATTCTCCCCTTATTGCACACAGAGAGCTTATTCATCAAGCCCATTAATATTACTTTTCATTACCAATGTAGCAACTGTATTTGTTTTGATAAATATGCTATAGAACTCTCATATCACGGTACACATGTGGTAAGTTAAACTTGAAATAAGAAAATAATAATAATAATAATGAAAAAGATAAATCACTAGTACATACCCTATATTTAAGTTAGACAACTGCAAATGAAGCAACTGAAAACAGAGACAGTAGCACCATTATTTGCAATTCACTATAGTCTGTATAATTTCTTGAAGACACCCAAAATGATCTCACAATTAAGACAGAAATGTACAATATGAGGTTGGGCTCTTCTCTTTATCTACTCAAAATTACAAGGTACATTATCACTTAATTTTCAATTGGATAAGTAACAGAAAATAAGTATCCATTTTCTCATGCTTGCCACAACCCTAAATATAACATTCTGGAGGAGCTTGAAGGATTATTACCATGGCCATTACTTCTGTTGTGTCAAGGCAAAAACAATCATAAAGGCATTTCAAGAAAAAGACCTTACCTTGACAACAGAATAAGGCAAGATGGCAGGGTATCATTCTCAAACTACCATTTACAGCTTTCAGTTGCGAGGCTACTGGTAAGAATTTTGAAATATGTTATTATTAAGGAAAAAATGTTTTCAACATAAAAACTAGAGTTTGGCATAACAACTGATGTGTCAACACTATTTACTCTACTAATGTCAGTTTTAGAAAATTATCCTTGTGAAAAAAATATACCAAAGGCTCATTGTCACTGATTAGACAAGTGTTAAAGTCAATTCTGATATTATGAGGTGTGAGTGTTCATGTTAGAATAAAACTATTGTCAGCCAGCTAAATACAAAGCTCCATTTGGTTAGGTATATAGCCTTATCTTTATGCTTAATCTGGTACTGGCAATACATCTCAACATTTTTAAGGCAATCTCTGTTCAGCCCATCTGTTAACTTAGATGTAAATACCCAAACTAATTCATTAGATTGCAGTAATATATTCAATTAAAAAAGATGATATATATTTATGAGCTGCATAAAAAGACATCACTTTGTTTCCCTAAAGAAACTATCCCAAAAATGGTGCACATTGTAAGGCAAGCAGTGAAGCAACAGATGATTCAGTGTTTGCCTATTCTCATTTCATGCTGAGTGTAATCACATGTTTATTCATAATAAGAATATAAACCACAATTTGTTCTAAACTTTGCCTAAGAAATACAATAAAAAAGAAATCATACATGAATATTATTTCCTACTCATTTAACATACATTTTATTCAGTTACTCATAAAATGAACAATGCACCACGATGCTATTTAATAAGTCAACAAATGGTTTAAAAGAAATGTATAAATTCCCTTTAAGAATTACTTTCCAAACCTACTGTGGAAACTTACTATTTCCAAATACTTTTAATAAACTTCCATTTCCAAATACTTATAATAAACTTACTATTTTCAAATACTTTTAATAAATGTACTACTTGTATTTCCAAATACTTTTTAATAATTGTTCCATTTGCATTTTCGCTGAACAGTTTGCCATTACCATTTTCCCATTCTTTTTATCTACAGTCCCACAACTTCCTGGTTACCAAGTTTCTCATTTTTTAGTATCCCTCAACACTGAATATGTTACATAACTGTCACAAGTTCAGTATAAAATGAAAAGAACAGAGAGGGAAAAAATGATGCCTCACAGAAATGTCAGTCTTTGCAGTAACTTTTTGGGTCAGTTGAAAGCAATGAACGGGATATCAAATAATGGAATTATTTGTTTAACCATTAAAATAAACTTAACATTGGGAAAATTTACAATATAAATAAGTTATTTCCCTTAAAATCTACTTTTGGACCTGCTATAAAAGTACAGTACACCTAATTGTAATAAATAGTAGTGACAATATTGCATACTTTTACCTAAAACAAACTCTTTGGAGATATATTTGCACAAGAGTTTGAATAGTAAGTTAGGAAAACTACCATAAAATGAGGACAAATTTATGGGCATATCACTGGTGTTTCTGAGGTTCCACTCAAACTCAGTACTGTATAAATAAAACCCTCGTGACGGGAAGCATAAGACGAATAAAGAAGAAACAGAGACCCTGTATAAACAAGTGTGATATAAACAATACATCTAATAACTTATTTACAACTTGGATATAAAATTTAGAGTTGCTTCATCATTAATTATAAAACAAAGTAAAATAATGCTGACAATGCATTGTGGTGACAGTAAGTGAACACAACTATTGAAGGGTTGGTAATATTATAAAAGGAAGGGATTTTCATCTTGGGAGGCAGCAGCAGGGGCCATTCCAAACCCAATGGACGGCTGAGGGGAGCCCCATGGTCCAGGGGATGAACCAGTGGTCTGAGCAGGAGCACCAGCGTTGGATGGGGGCAATCCCGACAAGCCTGTACCCGCAATGCCGGTAGATCTTAGCTGATTCATGGAAGGTTTGGGGGCCTGTTGAGCTTGGAAGGGATTCGGAGGGCTGGGAGCGCTGAATGGATTCACACCTGCAAAAGATGAGGGCGCGAGGCCAGGTGTAGCGAAAGGATTGGTGATGGTGGTGGTGGTGGTGGTGGTGGTGGTGGTGGTGGTGGTGGTGGTGTTGTTGTTGAGGTTGTTGTTGATGAAGGAAGAGTTGGAGTTATTCGTGGAGTTCACTGGGGAGACTCCTGTTTGGAAGATAAAAGCCACATACAAAGCTATTTAGATTGGTCTGGAAAGCAATGGGATATATTAAAGGTTGCTCATGCTTAACTTAAATATCAATTTACATTTATAAAAAAAAAAAACTCAAATTAAACAAATTATACAGTAAACTGCAAACTACAGTGATACAAGGTTAGACTCTACAAGACTGATTTAATTTATCATATTGGCTACAAACAACTACATGACTCAACAACAACAAAATCAGCACACTGGTATGCCTATGGTGATAAAAGTATCCTGGACATTAATCATTTTAAATTTCCATTGGAAATGAAATAAGAGTACTAGTACAATTACAATAAACAAATGCATACACAATTATATACAATTTACCTACAAAAATACATTTACATCACTTAAAAATAATAAAAGGGCACATTCTCACAAACAGAGGGTTAAAACTTTATATGCACTGAAAACAAAAGGAGAATCTTTCATGGGAATTATCACTATCACAAAAGGTTATAAACTTTTTACCAAGATGCATTTTAGACAAACAATATACAAAAGCATTATTTATTTCTTTGAGTTGATCCATTTCTTAAGACACAGTTTTAGTAATATAAAATGTTAAGCGAGACATTATTGAAACTGCAGCACCAATAACCAATGCCTTTGGCATATAATTCTTAATACCTTTTATACAACTATGTATATATTAAAAGTAAAATTTGTTTCCAAAAGAAAGGATTATCAGGATTATCACAATATATATATATATATATATATATATATATATATATATACACTGAATTACATCAATACTGATAATGCCTCCTCAATATTACCATGTAATTCAATTGATAGTAGGAACATCATAGAATCTAGTCTTATTAAACATACCGAAGCATTCAACATGAATTTGAGTAACGGCATGTACAAGCTGGACAATTTTGTAATTAAGAAGATTTGTGACCAGGTGAGAAGGCCTGGTCACCTGACCATCTGACCTGACCACCAACCGTTGTGTGCTATTTAAAGATTAGTAGGGTCATTACCTAATACCTGACCATTGTGGACCTGGTCTTACCCTCCTCTGTATATATACACCTTGATTTGTATTTCTCTCTCTAGTCTGTACTCACCCCTGAAGATGTGAATTACACGAAAGCGCTTGGGAACTTTGTGTTTTCTTCTTTCCTTGTGGTTATCAGCATATACCCAGATCACGCCACACCTACAGTGATTTATATATATATATATATATATATATATATATATATATATATATATATATATATATATATATATATATATATATATATATATATATATATATATATATATATATATATATATATTCCAATTTCACAACCAAGCAGAGATCAGGCAACTCATATACAGCCAATATGTCTAGAGGTGCTGCCTAAGCTGTATAAAAATCCAGGGTTCCTAAAATTAGATGTAAATTCTAGAAAAGAAAATTGGAATCCTCTCTACAGTACATGCATGAGCTGCATGAGCCTTTGCCAATTCTTACATACAGTACTAGGGTACAAGACCAATTCCACTTGGCTCTAGTCGTATCAGCGCCCTAAGAGAGGGAACAGAATTACCTTTTCCATGCTTGGTTATAATGTGAACTTTTAGGAGCTATCCCTCATTTACAACTTGTGCTATGGGTCAAGCAAGTCATGTACTTAAGCCAACTAATACAGAAGGGAGGGTGAGGCAATAAGCTGTATGAGTTAGCATGTCTCACACCATGACCAGGAACTGTGTTAAAAGTTAACTGACCTTCACAGCTCCCAAGTGCCACCTAATCTAATGATAAAGTGGAGTTGCAATAATTCGCGGGTTAGGTACCAGAAAACATCGTGAATTAATTATCAAATTGCGAATTATACAGTACAGGGTATTTATATGAAAATAATTAGGTTCCAGAGGCCAAAAAACACAAATAAACTCTTCCAAAACTGATTTAATAAAAACACTAAATATTGTACATACTACATCAAAAATACAGTAACGGTTGGATATTGTACAAAACGTATTTTAGTTCTACATTACATAAACAGCTACTTTCCTTCTCATAATGCCTACTGGCCAGACAAAAATAAATTCCTTGACTTTTCCAGGTTTTCCCGGTGTAAATTTGAAAAATTCAAGGTCCAGCTACTACCCGACTTATGACCTACTCGACTTACGTCCACCTGCACTTATGACCAGCCCCAGTCGTACCAAAATTTGGTCAAATTACGTATTTTCGAGTCCCAAAGTCAGTACACAGACAAAATTTTCATCTGTAATTCACTTTAAAATGGCTGGCAAGCTTAAAAGTGAGTGTTTTGTGGTGCTGAGAAGAAAAAGAGACACCCTTTTTCGATTTCCTATGTGTTATTTAGGCATTTCCGACTTACGACCATTTCGACTTACGACCTGGATGTCGGTCCCTAACCCCGTCATAAGTCGGGGAGCAGCTGTACATTAATTAGGTATTTATTGCAACAATAACATTATTAGAGGTTTTCAATAATATGTACCCCTGTATATACTGTACTATTGGTAAATTTAAAGATGATAATTGTCACTGGCTACCGGACTGACTATTTTATTTAACCAGCTATGATCAGGATGATCATTAGGCCAAGTGATGAACAACGGCAAAGACCTTGGGCACCCCCCCCCCCCCACCATATTTTCCTCCTCGGATTTACGCGATTCACGTGGGTCGACATGGATGTTCTAAAAAAAGCCGGAAATCTGACAAACTGAAAAATCATCTCTGACAATACTCATTGCAGAATTAGTTGGTATAACGTGTAATATTTGGTTATTTGATCACTAACATGAAATATGACAGGTACACAAACAATTCAGTTATTGGAGTGGACTTTTTACTGGAATTTGTTCCTGGAGGTTTAATTATTTACCTATAATATAGAACATCATTAATTTATGGTAAGATTGTTGTCAAAATAACAACATTTTGAAGTTGAACTGAATTCACATAAAATTCCATGCCTTTTCCAGGTCTTCCAGACCAGTAGACACCCTGATAATCATCCCCTAGGTGACAACAATACACCAAAATGGAGACAGGCAGGCACCGGGGCTTGCTGGCTGGTCACCTGTTCTTCTACATAAACAAAGCACCAGGAATTTAATACAATTCAATAATTCATCTGGAGTTGCGTGGGAATTTTTTCCGTGGGAAAATTATTTTACTATATTTTATTAACCCAGCCCCAAATGAACCTAAATAATATGGGGATTATGGTGAAACTACATCCCGTCATTATAAAGGGGCCATGAGGGTTGGGTGGGGGGACGTAGAACTCTGAGAGCAGAGGGTGAGGGAGAGGAATTATGTGGTCCAGCCACCGGCTTTCCACTCTTCATTTTTCTTATTTTATTGTTTTATATTATGCAGTATTTCTTTATTCCAAAGTAAAAATTGAACACTGACATGATACCAGTATTTACTTTACTTCTAAGTCACATTAGAGTACTGATATGATAATTCCACAACTTTTATGGTTTTTTATGCTAAACTCTGCTGCAAATTATTAATGTTTGACTGTGAAATTTAAAAAGGTACCCACTAATTTAAGAATGTGAATTTGAATTTTGTGAATTATTGCGACTCCACTGTATAAAAGTCTAATTTAATGGTAAAGATGTCTTTATTTAAGTATCAGGAGACTGATCTCTCAAAGAATCTGAGCCAAAGCTGGATGAAAACCCAACTGGGGTATTAGAGTTGCATGCTCTGGGGGAGGGGGAGGAGAACTCCTGACTAATGGAAAGCTGAAGTACAGTACACTATCTCACATCCCAAGAAGGTTAATTAGAATTTGGAGGACTTTGTTCTATTCTGAAACTCATTCATCTCACACTCAACTTTGCTTCCCTTCAGGAATCCTCAACTGCAAGAGCCTTTATCCTTTACCTGCACCACATGAAATGACTTTAACGTCAACAAAAAACTTTGTCCTGTACCTAACTTAGGAATGGGATAGACTGAGTTTGTCAAGCATAAAAATTTACAGCATATTGGGTTTGAGAGGATGCCTCCTCTCAGTAAGAGCAACTCCCTTCTGGCTAAGAAAAACTGACCCAACCTATCAATTTGCCCCTGATCAAGTAGTGGACTATGAAGCCTTCAGAAAACCCAGCCAGTAAGTTGAAGCACTTAGATCTTCAACCGAAGCTTCCATTCTATCCATGGCTAAGCAATACTAATCATAAGCCTAAACAGGTAAACCATTTTAAAGTATCCACCAGTGGTTTTGACTGTATAATCTATTAGTTTACAAGAGTAAATAAAGAGAGGAGAATGATGATAGCAAAGTACTGTAATCTTAAGAGGCCAACTTGGAAGAACCAAGTACCACACTTGTGTGGACTGGAACTTTTCATGTAAAGAAAGAACCTTTAAGGCTGTCTTCCAAGTCAACAAACACCCTATGTTAAGAAAGTACCAGAAATAGACCCTGAAATCAAGAAAATGTGGTTCCTATGCCTCAGAAAGTTATCTTGCCAGAAAGGAAGGTTAAAACAATAAATGATGTAGAAGCATCCAACCCTAAATCCAATTCTCCTTCCACCAGGTCCCTAGTCACCATTCCCTGACATTACTTTCCTCAAAAACAAGAATCAGCCTATAAGTCTGATATGTTGACTCTCATGCGACAGTGAAGCTCGAGGGATACAGTTCTCTCTCTACTTCCAAATGCCAGATGGTTTTCATACGATATGGTTGAACACTGTCCATCTAAATGACTATCACAATGTGAATTGCTAAAGTCCAAATGCTGTCATATCTAGATGAATGGTCATTGCTGTTGTTCAATAATGCCCTGGAAACAGGACTTTGGCCCTACTTGGTGTTGTCAAGTTGACTGGTCTAGATGCAGGAATATCCTCCTCCACAAGGAGAACTGACTTTTACCCTGGCATGGAGTCAGTACACCAGTGATCTCTTCTATCATAGTTCCCAAGATTGGAAGAAATGGGT